TTCTTTACGCTGATTTCCTCCCTGAGATGGGTGGCGCTTCCGACAGCTACAAGATCCAGGCAGGCCATAAAACATCTGGAGAAACTAGAAATTCACAAGGCGCAGTTGCACACAAACTGTATGAATACCAAATGTTCGAATTTATTACACTACATAGTGTTTAAGCAACAAAGAAGACTTACAACATGGTTTCAGATTATCAAAAAACTTATAATTATTTATTTAGATAAGAGATGGTGACTAACATCTACCTCTATTACCAAATTACTTAATATCTAATTATTATTAATAGCAAAATAATAGCCCAATTAATTGGTGATGATTTGGTTTAGTAATTTTAGTTTTTTTGCCAGGCTGACATATTAATCTAAATGTAATTAAGTGAGAAAGGAAGAAATTATTACAAAAGTGTTAATTACACACAAATATCATTATGTTTGCAAGCACTTCCAACATTTTATAAGGCATCATTCTCAGGCAGAACACAAACTCAAATAAATCTTTTGAACAAACATTTCAAATTAAAACTAATGGCATTAGTCCTTTAGAACAAACCAAATTTAAAATAAAAATGTAAAGAATTTGAATTAAGGCGCATGTGATGACAATGTGCCATGTTGTGTTGAATAGGCACTGAGAGCAGAGCTAGAGACGATGTTTTAATCTTTTATACAGGCTGACCCACATTGCAGGCAACTCAAGCATGGGGGAGTTGCACGGATTTAATAATACGGTAAGGAGGGCCTCTCAAACACACCAGGATTCTCTGATCACAATACCTTAGCATTGCCACACAGTCCCACAGCAGGGTGTGTTGATGTTGTAACACCATCCTAGCTAGCTCAGTGTCACACCTACCCACCCTGATGGAATGTTGGTGTTCAGAGATGCAGCAAGATGACATTTTAGTTGTCACTCCTATGTAGTGGGTGTGAATGCCAGATGTGTTTTATAATGGGATAGAGTATATCCCGGACTTCTCTTATTTTGAAAGCAACAACTCTTAATAAATTAACGTGTACTGTACATCAGACATTTTTTATTGGACCAGTCCTGGAACTTTTTGACTGCACCTCATAAAACTAAATATATTTACCTATAATACCTGGCAGGCAACTGTCACTCGCCCCCATAGTGCAGATTGGAAAGTCGAGCTGCCTGCTGCAGAGATTACAATTATGAGCAGATTGGTCTTGATTATCAGGGTGATTTTGAGGATGTTTGTCACTGTTCCAAATTGGTGGATTCTAGTTCTACAATGGGACAAGGGGAGGTGTGAAATGTCTAGTTGGTCTTCGTCATCACCTTCCTGATCTTTCTTGACCTCACATCTTTGCACTTGTCTGGGTCTGTCAGGATATATTATGTGGGTGAGGATTGTTTAATATGATCAATGTGGACCACAGCTTCACAGAGCTAACTTTGTGAAATTTTCAGTTTATAACCACAGATTAAATCAAAGCCTTCTCACTGTCATCAAAGGTCATTTTCAATCCTACCAACTTGACTTTTGCTTTTCTACCAAAACCCTTTCATCTCTGTGGTGGTAATCTACTCTCAAAACATTGGAGAATGCAATATACAGTCTGTTTTGAAATTCCCTCAATTGCAAAATGGTTTAAATAAAACATTAGGGGGGAAATGTGTAAAAGTTGTAAACTCTTAAGCATAAAGCGTCTTCTTTCATTGCTATTTTGAAAGAAGCAGAAAATTGAATGAGGGAAAAGATTTTGGAGTGTTCTACAGTATTGGCTGTTAGCTAGAGCCTGAGATATTTTGTACAGATTTTTTTCAGACATCCATTACTGATCAAAACAACAGGCAAGAGTAATATTTGTAAATACAGTAGAGCGTTGATTATCCGAAAGTCAATCATCCGAAAGAATTCCAGTCGGCAAATTTAAATTTTCGCCAGTGCTGTGACGCTGCAATCTTTGGCTATGTCTTCGGCTACTCAAATATTTTACGTTTTTGATACTAAATTAACTTCTGAAGTATAATTTTTTATTGTTTTTATATTTTTCAATATATTTATTTTGTTCGTACAAAATAAAAAAATAATTTTTAACAATACAATATTCTTAGTTAGGCTTAACATTGATGAAAATTCAACGCAAAGCGACACGCAACGGAGAAAAATGTCAAGATGGGATAAATTAATATATTGTTTCGTACATAATCGGTTATCCGAAACATCGATATTCCGAACGACCCCAGTCCCCAATTGATTTGGATAATCGACGCTCTACTGTATTGAGAAATTTATATTTATTTTCTGATTCCTGCAAATCTTTCTTAAATACTTAAGAAATTTTTAATACAAATTCCTGCATTATCTTATCTACTTTCAAAAGACTTATTTAGAAAGAAAAATTTAGTTTTTTTAATAAGATTTGTTTGTCAATCTTATTCAAGAAACTAAATTTTTCCAAGATATTTTTAATAATAACAATTAAAAATTGGATATAAATATGCTATTTAACAAACCAAAATTTAGAATAAGGGTAAAGCAAACTGTCTATTTGCATTAAAGTTGTTTACTACATAAATTTTTAAAAAAGTATGTTAAAAGATTCCAAATGCATGTGGAATTTTTTTTAAAAATTAAAAAAAATAATTTAAAAAAAATTGTAATTCAAATGGTATATGCTCAACCTGAAGATGACATTTTATGATGTCGAAAGTACTTGTTCCTAATTAAATACTTTGCAAGTAATCAACTTTAATCCAATATACATTTTGCTTTATTCTTATTAAAAACTGGAATTAAATGATTTTATTACAGAATGCTTTTAAGTACTTTAAAGACACTTAAATTGTGTTAAGGGTCAAATTTAATTTTTAAAAGTTTAATAAATATAATTAAAATTCAATTCAAAAGAAATGAAAATCTTTTATGATGATGATAAATCATTTTATAAAGCAATTTAAAAAATTAATTTATCAGAGAGATTCTCAAAGTTCTAACATACTATCATCAAATAAATAAACTTCTGATTTCAAAAGAAATCAAATCATCAGCATATAAATTCATTCCTGAAAGTGGGCTGCAATTTTTAATTATATTTTTAATTAATTTCATTTAAAATATATGCTCTTTATCTCAAATTAGTACCATAGTGTCTTTCCCCTGTACATCATACTTTTCCTTAACAATAGAGTCATGCCAGTCATCTATTAACTGCTCTCAGGGGAAAAGTTTTGAATCTAAATAACGTGACTTCCAGTTTGCATCAGAAGTTTGTATATAGTTAATCGAGGCCTCCTGCCCCTAAGGTTTTCATATCTGGTCTCTGATTTCATCTCTAACTCCATTCTTGAGATTAAGGAAAGACAGACAGACAACAGTGAGAATTTATTGGTCAACAATTTTATTCATATTGCAGCCCAATTAAATAACTAAATCGTGTAATATTTTATCATCCTAATTATTCCTTTGTAACCTTTTTTACAACAGTTAGTACAAGTGATATGTTAATAAAATTTGGATTAATTTTTATTTTATTGAAAAAAGTCAGTCACAGTGTAAACAGGTTACTTATCTTAACTTATCCCGTCAATATAAGAAATACACGTCTTCCAACACTAGAGGAGTTATAATTCAGCACTTCAAACAACCTTCAAACAGCACTTCAAACATACCACTGGAGCTGTAAAGGTTGTTTGAAGTGCTGAATTATCCTGTCAAATCAATCTTCATGGCACCAAATACACAGTGATTTTATATTATTCTGAAATTGTCTGATTATTATTATTCTGAAATATTATTGTCTTATTTCTTAAAGAAGTTAAATACAGGTGTTTATAATTAAACTGACTGCACCCAGAGTCCACTGAGGTCAGTTCTAATGGACATATGTAGATAACACTTGGTATATATTCTATTAAAATCATGGGAAATAAAAATTAGTTTAAATTTTCACCACTAGGTGAAAATACATCAAGAACAACTACAGTATGTAATGCTATGCAGATTATTGTAGAAAATACATTCCTGGGCTATAGCATTCTCTGCCTCAGCTGAAGGCAAACATAACACAGCATATTGCCAATACTCCCATCAAAATGCTTCATTTGACAATTCATAATGTCATATTATGCTTCCAACATGCAATCAATGCAGAAGGCATGCACATTAAACACATGGTGTAAGATACTGTAAAATGACATTCTTCCTTATTGACTTATTGTTATTGTTCTTGAAGCACCATATTTTTACCTACTGGCAAAAATTTGGACTAATCTTTGTTTTCTAAAAATTGTCCCTCATGGGGTGAATAGCATATGTACTGTACCAAGTTTCATTGACATATGTCCATTAGAACGGCCCCTGCGAGCTCAGAATAAGGTTGGTTTAATTATAACCACACTGTACAAGCTGAACAAATTTTACTAAACTGATTAACTAATACATATAACTCGTTAATCTCGTAGAATTTTAAATGTTTCAGCTACTAGTTTTGTAAACTAGACATTGTTACATTCTACTTCTCAGCACCAAAATTCTAGTGAGTATAAAATCACCATTAATTATAAAGATTTTTCAGAATTTCAGAAAACAGGAACAAAAAAATTTAAATAGATTTTGCCACTAAATTCTAAGAAATTGCTTGAGTGAGGAGTTATTACAATGTTTTAATGAAATTAATGTTTTTCCTCAAAAATTAATTTAAGAAATCATTAGAAGTTTTTTGAAATTGTATAAATTTGTAAGACATTATGGTAATAAAAATATAACAATTTTTGAATCAATTCTAAAATAACTACCTTTCATTTTCTAAAATTTCTTTAAATTGGATCTTCACCCATGGGATATTCTTTATTGGGAGGTTTGTACCTGTAGAGACTGTAAAGTCAAGAGTCCAATATAAGTCTTCTACTAACGACATCACATGGGTAACAGTAGGATTACAGTCCAGTTCAAATTATTTTTTAAGATAGACATTTTAATTTTTATAATTGTTTTTTATATTGAAATTTAAAATAATTTTTTTTCTTAGATTGCCATTTGCTTTTATAACACAAGAAGTGGTTGAAGCAACTTGCCAATGTTTATTAGCTCAAGCCGAAGATGGCGAGAGATCTGGACTGCCTGTGTCCACACTCGAAAGGCTGGTTTTAGAAGAATTTGGAAGATGTTTGATGCAAATAATTGAATATGCAAATAAAACTAAAGGTATCAGAATATTTGTAATTAATACAATTTTTTTACTTGAAACATCACATATAATAAGTATTTTAAACACTACATTAAATGAAAATAGTAATAATTTTTTTCTGTGGTTTTAAAAGTTTCTCTAATTTAGTATGATTTATGAAACAATTCTAACAGCAGTAAATTATTTTCATTTCTATTGTTTTAAAAATTTCTTTATATTCTATTCAAACTCAGTTACCATTCATTATATTGCAAATACTTTTGTTTTAGTTGTATTTAGACTATTGATTAGTTACTTGATTGAGTAAATATTGTTTTAACCAATCACACTAAACTTTGCACACTTTTCCAGCACTAGTTTAATAAAAACAAATGTTTTTAACCCCATTCAGAGGTTTGTCTCAGGTTAAAAACATATTAAAATACAAATTTAAAAAAAAAAACTGTTTTTAACCTGAGGCAAACCTCTGAATGAAGCTGAAAACATTTGTTTTGATTAAATTGCTGGAAAAAATGTATAAGGTGTAGTGTGATTGGTATATTTGTTTCCAGTTTTTCTGCAAATGCTTGAAATATTGTTTTATTATACAGTACATTGTATATTTAAATTATTATTTCATTTTGCAAAATTTTTACAGTCCTGAAGGGAATATGATTTTAAACCCAAGTATAGTTTTAAAGCATCACATAAGATCCAAACATATTAATCTAGTACTGAACTTGTTTACAAATATTACTTTAAAATATTTTTACATAGCAAAATATATTTTTGAATTACTTAACAGATCTTTGAGTATATAATTTGAAAATAATCTGTAAGGTTAAAAATTTTACTAATTACATTATCTGCGTAATGACATGAGTTATTCCAAACACTATGAAGACTTCTAGAAACTTTTGGCATTAAATGAAATCGAAAATTGTATGAGAGACTGTCTGAAAGTAATTCCTCCTATTTTTTTTCCTCATTAAATAAGTTGGTAATTTGAGAAATTTGAATTCCTTGTGGTTCCTCCAATTTTTATATGCAGTCCTTTGCAATAATAGCTTCATAAATCAACAGGTGGCAGTATTGCATTGTTTTAAAAACTGGCTGACATTAACATGCATATAAGACAACAATCTGTGACAGAATTCCTGACTGCAAAACGTGAAATTCTGAAAAATGTTTATGGAGACACAATATTGGATGTCAGCACTGTTAGGTGCTGGGTTTGTCACTGTATGGAAACTGAAGGGCAAACCCCTTCAGCTGATGAAAAGTGGAGCAATCGGCTTTCCACTGCAGTGATTCGAAGGAACATGCAATAAGCTACTGAGATCATTTGTGCTGACTGCCAAGTAACAACTGATGAATTGTGCTGCATGCTTTTCATCAGTAAAGGCAGTGTGATAGCCATTATTGATAAATTGGGCTACTCAAAGGTCGGTGCATGGTAGGTACCAAAAATATTGACTGACAGAATAAAGAGACATGGAAAACAATAGCCACTGACCTGTTACATTTTTTCAATATGGAAAGGGAGGAGTTCCTGGCAAACATTGACAGGGAATGAGACTTGGGTTTGTTTCTTTGAACCTGAATCCAAAAGGCTCTTGATGGAATCACATCACTCATCACCACCAAGAAAGGAAAAAATTCAAAAGTGTACAATCTGCATGGAAAGTTTTGGCAACAGTGTTGTGGGACATGGAGATTGTGATTCTGTGGATTTTTTGAGCATAGGTGCACAATAAATTCTGTTTAAGCTTCTTCTGGGTGCAGATGTAGTAAAGTGTGTCTTCGGCAAGTTTGTCCAACAAAACTCTGGTGAATGTTTTTCTTATGCATGACAATGCAAGAACACTTGTGACATTACAAAAATTGAATGGAAAGTCTTGCCTCATCCACCATACAGCCCTGACCTAACACCATCAGACTACCATCTGTTCAGGCCACTGAAGGAAGTTCATTATGGGCATCACTTTGAAGATGAGGAGACCCTAAAAATTTCCATGTGCCAATGGCTGAGGAAGGAGGACAGTGATTTTTTACTGTGCAAGAATAGATGCCCTTGTTAAAAGGTGAACAAAAACTGTTGAAAAGGGCAAAGATTATATTTATATTAAAAAGTGAGAAATTAATCCTGAAAGCTGTGGCTATATTCTGTGTAAATTTCACTTAGGTTTCTTGTAAAATAAAAGAGAAACAAAATGGGAGGCATTACTTTCTGACTGATCCATGTATATAAAAATGTTCTAAAATTACTCTTGTGAATGACTTAGTATAGTTGTTATAAAATTATTGCATAAAAAAGGCTTCAAGACATTTGTGCAGTCAAGACGGATAAGCCACTGGCCATCACCTTGGTAGTGGTTTGTCCCCGATATGTCGGGCACCAATCCACAAGTTTATGGGGGAAAAAGCCCTCTTGGTGCTTATGCTGCAGAAAGATTAAAAGAGAGCCTCTAGATTGTTGAAACATGCCCATTGGAAAAAGTTATTTTACATTGTTCCGACTTAAAATGAAACAATCAATAAAGATTTGTTTGAAATTAGTCAAATGTAGTCTATTTAAGAGATTTCATAGATTTTAGACAGGTTTCATTTAGCTTTTTCTTAAAACTATTTATTAATTTAATCATATCAAATTTGTTTAAAATTTGGTTGGACTTCTATGGCTTGAGTCAGAGCCCACATCAGCTATAAGCTTAAGAAGACTCAATATGGTTAGTTAATTATTCAATGATAATATTATTTAACATGATTCATTCCAAACTTGAAGTTTTTTTCCTTCCTAAAAATTAAATTTATTTTAACTATACAGAAATTTAATTTATGAAGATAACAATGGACAAAATTACTTAATCTTGACTTTAGAAATCTATTCAATATTTATTAATTTAAAAACTTTTATTTTTCAGTTTCCAATACATAATGTATAGCAACTTTATTTGTGCTCTCAATAACACTCAAAAGATAAACAAAAATGGGAATGATACTAGTCATTTGCGTGGACGTCGACATGTTCGTCCCTCAAGAAGTTTCCCAAAATCGAATAGACAGACTCACGAGTGGGATTTGTGCCTAAGCAGTAAAGATTTTCGCAAAAAATTCGACATGTTGAAAGTTGCCACTCATTACATATCGCTATGAAATAACATCTATATACATATATTTAAAAAATATATAATTATAAATATGAAATAACTCTATAGAATCATCCCGTTTCATATATGAAAGAATGTTTTATTTAGTTTTAAGGAGTGAAAGAAGTGTTGTATTATACAAGTTCAGTCAGACAATAGCATTTTATGTGGATAAATTAATATTATGCAAGATACTTTTATTAATGTTGTTACAAAGTTTGTGCCAGATTACATAACACGCTTGCAATTTTAACATTTTTATTGAAGATGTACAAAGCCCAATATTTGTGAAATTTAATTATATATATATATATATATTATATTATATTATTATTATTATTAATGAACATAAAAGCATTGTAAATTTTAAGTTAAGTTAAGGATGGGCAAATAAGTATTGTTAAATAGTGGTAATTTTTTAGCATTCTGCAGGGTTTGTGAATAACAGTTGTTATTTAATCCTAAATGTCCAATGGTTTTAAAAAACAGGAGAATTAAAATAGCATTTTTTTATGCCCCAATATATTGTATAGTGTAAACATTAATTTTATCTTTTAATTGTAGTGCTATGTCTAATAAACAGTTTCTGAAACAGTTTCCTATTTCACTTTATTTCAAATCATTTTTTTACACATACACATGATAGACTTGTTAGTATATCTCAGTATGGAAGAATAAACACTTATGTATATGAAAAGTTTTAGTAGTGTGTAGCTTCATAAATGAAATCTTAACAGTATCTGTGAAAATTTGACATGCATATATGCAATCAAAAGATCAAGAAACATTACAATTAAATACACATTACATGTAACACAATATTACACAATAAATTACATTTAAACAAATCACATATTTTACATCATTCTTCACGGCTGTTTATGCTTCCTACTCTTTCTTATATTCACTCTTCTTTTCTGTTGTGCTCAGAAAATTTCAGTTAGTTTCAAAATACCATAAATCAATAGACTTACCAATTTATTTCAAATTAATATCTTATTGCATTGAACTGAACTGTTATTTTCTTTGTAAGTTCATTTATAACTAATATTACAAGATGTTTTCTCACCAGGACACTTGCCTGTAATCTAATGAGAGCGGGCAAACTGAGAAGGAAACTTAGGATTCTGTAGTTTCTACCCTTATAAATTAATATTTTTTTACTAACAAAAAATAAATCTGTGACTGCTTTTTATTAATAAAGAAACATTCTACAAATTTTATTTGTTTAAAAAAAATGGCAAAAAGAGCTTGCTCTACCCCTGGGCCCATACAAACTCTCAATAGCCCACCTTGTCTGCCTCTCCATTCAAGTATTGATGAAAATGTGAAGATGACCAAGTGACAGGAAACTGGCATCACTTTTATTTTTGTAGTAAATAATGTTGCAAAAGCATGCAGTCACCTTTTATAAAGTCATCCAAATTATTGGAAAAGTGAATAATTTTAAAAAGGCAAAAAAGCAAGGTTGTGTAGTTTATTGCCCAACCCAGCAACCCTATTTACCATGTTTATTTGATATGAACTTAACAAAGTTATTTGACTTGAAACAAGAATTCATTAGGATCAATGTGATTGCTTTAAACAGATTCAAAGATTTTGCCATGTACTTGCCAGACACAAAGGAATAAGCAAAGCATGTGCTTTGTTTAGTAATCATAACTATTATAGAGTGGTGATTTTAACAACTTTAGTATGGAAAATAAAAAATTACTATTTATTATATAGAATTATTGTTGGAACTCATTCAAAAATGCAAGAACATCATAGAAAACAAAAGAAACAAAATCCATAATTAATAAGAGCAATTAATTATTGCTTCTAGTATAATGTTAAAATGTAACGTACTCAGTCTTGTGGCATTAAAATGAACATTTTATTCACAAGTACTCTTAATAGTTTATATCTATCCTCTTCAGGCTGATTTGATTAGATTCAAATTGAATCAGTCTGAAGAATTCAGACTGATGGACTTCCCAGTCAAAAATAATAACTAATGCTAGAGTAATAGAAATAAACAGGAATCATAGATTCCAGAATTTTAGAGAATGAAGGAGTGTAAGAGCAGATATTTTAGTGAAACCAGAGACAAAAGATTAGTTTTCTCTATTGCTTGGTCAGTGAATCTATGTCTATATCCAAAATGATAATGTTGTTGTTGATTATTAATGATGCAAAAACAATCAGTAAGATAAAGAATATTATTAGAGATAACCCTGTTTTGTTTTTTGTAGCTGAAACAATGGATGACAAAACAATTAGTTTTGAATATTTTAGTGGCTCCAGTAACAGGCAAACTAATAGAGACAATGGTCTTTTATCAATAGATATATGAGCTACAAAAGAGTGATGCCATCCATTTAATGATGCCTGCACGAAACTGGCTGGACAGCATTAAATACCATAACATGTGAGCAGTCCCAATAGACTGAACACCTTATATGCTCTCAGCTTTCAGGAATTTAAACCCAGTGTTTGTCAACTCAAATCACATTTCATGCATAACACATGCCTTTTGTTTAGCATATACATCAGTACATGGTAATGTCCAGAACAAACATGTTTATTTCAGAGATGAAAAAGTTTTAGAGATAGCTCCAGCAAGAATCACTATGTACTATGAAGTAAAACAGCTTTCCCTGCCACCTAATCTGATTTTACAAAGTGGGAAATGCAGATAAGGCTGGTATTATTATATTGAAAAAATGTTCAGAAAATCAAAGAATTTTCTTTGCACATAGAAGAATCTGATTCTGCCACAGTTGGTTAAATTAAGAACTTAATTTTGAATGCTAGTGTTCAGGAAGAACAGTCTGCTGTAAATTCATACAAATTCTTTGTTGACATAATCACCAAACTAGAAAGGAAGCATCTTCAAAAAGAAAAGCAGTGGGGACTGTTTACCTAGATAAGAGATAAATTAGATGGATTTGCCAAGCAAAAACTCGAGAAGAGTCTTTTCGAGAATCCAGACTTAAAGAAGTCCTGGAAAGCAACGATTTAGAATTTAAAATTGAGACCAAGTACCTGCTGCTAACATGTGGATGATGAACAATCTTTTACTGCAAGCAAAGATACCCTTTTATGTAAATGAAGAAAGGATACATTTGAAAATTTGGAAACAATTACCATTAACCCAGTTAATTCACTCTTTTTGACAAATGATTATGATTTGAGCCACAATGATACGTAAGATAGTGTGAAAATGAATGATCCATAAAAAATATACTGTACTCTGCAATTTAAATAAAAGTTTTTACTTAAGATAGATACCTAGTGTGATTTTTAGCACCATTTTTACTCTCTTCAGCACTCTGTGCTCCCATTTCTAAACTTTTATAACACTAAAATCCTACCCTTAGTTATAAACATGCAAGCGGGAAAAACATTATAAAATAATATCATAACAGTGCTAATAGACAGTCATTGGCTTATGTTGGAGCTGATAAAAGTAATAATTAGTTGGCACAGCCTTATCAAGTGACAGAGTGACTAAGAAGAAGGAATTTCAATTTTCTAATGCCAAAAGGCTTAGAACAATTCACAGATTGTTTAATAACTTTTGCCAGGATATTTCAAATGATGAAAATGAATTAAGAAGGAACTCGCATTCTGTATTTCAAAATATACTAAAGTAGGCATAAACTACTTTAAATATGATAATTAAATTGGGTTTTGATGTATTATATTGTAGTATTACAAGAAACATAACAAAGGCAAATCTTATCAAACTGTGATCTGTATTTTGTTAAGAGTCCAAAAAAAAAGTTCTCCGGAAATACATCAGAGATGACATATGGCCGGTGCGAGTAACATTTCAAGGTAGTCATGTGATCGAGTGACATCAAAGTGGAGTCACATGACACATTTTGTACTCATTTGCTGTTCAATGTGGTACTTTGTGACAGAAGCGTGCTTAAGCAACGGCGGTCCAAACAGTGTAGAGTCAATAAGTAGTCCTACAGTTTTTTAGTTTGCACCATTTTTTATATGGGTAAATAACAAAAAATTCCAATGTGTTTTGCAAATGTGTCTCTTTAAAAAACTGAGAGAGAAAACGGTGCTATACAGCTTCTGTAGTACTACCAAAATTTTTGCCATGGCTGCTTGCTTAGCATATGATTATACCAACAGACATCTAAAAAATTACCTGGCATCATGTTTTGCGGATTTCACATGTCAGTTACTAATGAGTTTATTATATACTTGCACCTCCCGACATTAACCTGGTGGTTTTTAATATATTTTTTTTTTTTTTTTTGGTTCCCAAGAGATGAAAAATGAAGGCAGTTTGCTGCAAAATTGAAAACAAAAAATGGAAATCAAACCCCCATTAAAGACACTCTTCTGAGCATTTCAGAGAAGAGGATTTTGATCACAAACTTTCTATGTTATGTTAGATTGAAGTTGGATGCAGTACCAACTGTTTTCAAATACTTTCCTGCACATTTGATAAAAGTAACTCTTGAATGCTTTTCTGTTTGGGTGAGTTAAAACCACATAAACATTTTATCAACAACACTTATACAGAGGTACTGTACATTATAGAATGAAATATGAAATCTTCAGTTTACATTTTGACTTTTTCATTAGGCAAATAAAAAGGAAAGCACCTTTCAAATGCAACATTGATTGTTCCATTTTTGAAGTAGAGAATAACAAATCAAAATGTGAAGAGTTAGCTTACATCTTTTGTACAATTCGAAGTGAAAAATTTTAAATTGCTTTTAAGTTTGTTGTGTGGTTAAAATAGGCTAGTTCTGCTGTTGTAGAATCAGAATCTGATGGTGATGATGTTGCCCACTTTAGTTCCAGCTGCAGTTGTGTTTCTTTGCAAATTGATGTTTCTACTCAAACTGACTATACTGAACCTTCTGCACACATGGGAAAATAGCATTGAGGAGAAAAATTAGTTACTTGGAAAATGTTAATCAAAAAGCCAGAAATAAACACAAGTTGTTACAAGATACCTTGAGTAAACCTTGATTAAAAGAGATTAGAGGGCTGTCCGATTTTTAGTATCGGACTTAACCCTATAGAAGTAGGAAAGAAGAGAAAGCATGAGATACAAAGTGTGAAAAGAAAGGGAGATAGGAAAGTCTGAAGTAAGAGATCAGTACCCGGAGCGCCTGTTCTGGCATTTATTAAAGATAAAATAATTACAATATGTACAGTATGGCTATTTGCCATATAGAAACAACTTGATTAAAAATGATCCTGACAATTTTTAAACATAGTAATAAATACTGTACAGAATAAGTTAATATAATATGTAATTACAATATTCCAAATATATTGTCCACATCTCGTGGACTCTATACATTTGGATTACAGTATGGCTATTTGCCATGTGAAAACATTTTAATTACAATTGGTCCTGACAATTTTTATAGTAGTTTTTAGTATATAGGATAAGTTAATATGATACATAATTATAATTCCAAATATTGTCCGCATCTCGTGGATTCAATTAATTTGGATTACAATAAGTTTTCTTATGTTATAGCCATGAATTATTTCTATAGTTAGATAACAAATATCAATGATACCTATGTTTAATGCTACACTTGAGCATCATCACAGTGAGTAAAGTT